ATATATAGTAAAAAGTTGTAAGAAAGGCGGGAAGGGTGACTGTGAAATGACAGGGACAGACATCTGCACAGGACAACTATGACCTCTAACAAAACAAAGTCAGCTAGAGGGTGCCTTCACGTCTTCACCCTGTGGACATCCAGCTGCCCTGGCAAAAAGATGATGGTAACAGATGGTAAGTGATGCCTGAAGTATTTGCAGAACTGGAGATAAGCCATACCTCGGAGAACAAAATAAGTCTCCCAGCTTTCAGACCCACAGGCTTGTTCAAACTCTGGTAAAAACATGCGACACTTAGCATCTTTGTTCTACCATGGACTAAGAAAAAAATAAAAATCAAGTACTAGGAAAATTGTATGATTTTGGACTGCCCAAATTCATCATAAAAATGTAAGTATCATAGTTAACCTGAAATTCAAACCTGACTTGCACTGAAACTGTAGGAACATTTGATATCATTATTATAAACAATTTTAAGGAAACGTATATTTCTAAGTATTTTGTGACTCATCTGTTAGCTTTAAAAGAAAAGAAATGACGAAAAAAATGAAAAGCCAAGCTTATGAGAAAGACTGTAGTACTGCTTGACATTGAAAGAAAATGCATTATCTGCTTTTTAACAATTTCTTAGCTCTGCAGTTTCCAGGTTTTTGAGTCAAAGTGGACACAGCCTATTTCCTCAATATGATGCTGCTGAAAAGTTCATCCTCATAAATGATTTCCTATGATTTAGTTTAAAGAATCCCAGGGGCACTGTCCTTAGCTGACCTGTAAGTCATAAATCCATTAGAGATTTATTCACAGAACTATAGGAAGAACAGTGTCAGAAACAACTGCTGGAAGTCTCCAGTCCAATCTCCTGCTCACAGCAGCGCTAACTCCAAAGCTACGGCGTGTTGCTCAAGGACTTGTACAGCCACATCCTGAAAGTCTCCAAACACTGAGACACCACCACATCTCTGGGTACCTGTTTAAGAGCTCCACCACTTCATTCTCATGGGGAAGGATTTTTTTTTTTCTTAATGTTGATTCAGAACTTCCTGTATTACAGCTTGTGACCACAACCACTGCCTCTTGGTCTTTCACCATGCACTTATTAGATTTAATATGGAAGCAGTGAACAAGCTAAGCAAAGATTGCTTTAAGGGTGAGGAAACATCTTCCTCAGTGACATACTAGATATCTAAAAGAAAAAAAAAAAAAAGGATTACATTTTTTTTGCTAGAGATTAACTTACCGTGCATACTGGGGTCCTGTGGAATCATACCACTGGCTGGAAGCAGTTATGTCTTCATCCCGTATCGTCCCTTCATGCATACCCAAAGGATAGCGGCATATAGCTGAAGATGGAAACAAAAGCAAGTAAAAAAAAAAAAAAAAAAATCAGTACTGTTTCTTTCTAAATCACCAGACAAGTTTAATTAAAAGCTATCAATGCCTAGGGAATAAACATGGGAATGATAAAATAGAGAATGCAAATAAAGAGGATGAAATAATTACCATAAACTGAAATAAGTAATGAAATACACTCATTCAGCAGAGTTCTGGCAAGGCAAAAAGCTTTACAAAGAAATGTTTTAAGAACATGAAAGCCAAAACCATACTAGTGTTAATGGTTGCACAGACCTATTTTATAATGAAAAATTGTTTATCAATAATGATGCGACATAAAAAGGAAGAATTTGTTAAAGATTTTTCTCCTGGAATAAACTGGATGCTTGACTTTGCTTTCAGATAAGAACAGTTATTATTTTCATCAGTCCAGTAACAAGCAAGACATTAAACAGCTTCTATTACAGATGACTAGACTAGCTTAGGGAAACATCTGCTCAGCCATGTCACTACAGGTTAGAGCTTACATCTGAGCCCAAGCCCCCAGCCATCCATGCTGCCCCATCCTGGTCTGTTCCCTGCCTCTAGCCACAAGCAAACAAGCACCTCTCTCCAGCCGTGAGAAGACTCTCAAACTTGGTGCCTCCAGGGAGTACAGACACAACTGGCTCAAGCCATGAAGCTCGACAAGCTCAACACAGCTCAATACACCGAAGACAGAGCAGATGTAGCTTACAAATCCAAGCTGGCCAAGCTCTCTCCCCTGACAAGTTTTTAAACATGTGTTGGAATACTAGAGATGTTACAGAAGACTCAGTCTTAATGTATTCATTAAGGCTCAGTATTCAAAACAGGCAAGCAAGATATTTTTGTCAGACTGACATCAACGGCAGATTAAAAGGAAGTTACATGGGATTAAATCATGAAACAATTAAAAGACAAAAACATAGTCAATGGCAAGTCCCAGAAAAAAGGAAATGGACTTTCCTATGGATATCTGGTCTTCGCCCTCCAAGCTCACAGTAGCCCCATCACAACAGCCCCAGCTCCTCCCCTGTCTGCAGTGACACCAGCACATGCTCCAGTCACTCCAGAGCGGCACGCACTTCGGCTGCCATCCTCACTGCTACGCTGCCTGCTGCCGTACCAGCAGTTCTGCCTGCCTTTCCTTCAGCAAGTGCACTGCCTCGGGCATCTTCCTCATTTCTGTATCTCAGGCCTGCTACTCTTCTACCAAACCTGAATAAGGCTGTTCACCAGGTTCAGAAGCTATAAGAAAAGAGAGGCATGAAACCCACCTTGTTGTTGCCACCATACAGAATAAACAACTGCAGGCCGAATAACTACCTGACAGATTTCAGCATAGAAATGTTTGCAAACAGACGTTATTTCAACAGGGTTTGGCTGCAGCTGCTGTCAGGCACAGTACCAACAAATGTGTGATGTTCTATATATTCCTAAATAATCTTGTAATGGTGATTGGTGGTGAGGTGACAATGTTTGCTGATGATACCAGAATATTTAATATAGAAAAAAGGCAAATTATGGGAACACATACAAAACAAACTAGAAAACACCATTACACCACCGTCTGTATTCATAGTCAGATCCCAGTCAGATATGGAATAGAGCTCTTACTCCTTCCTTCTCCCATCAAAAGGCAGAGAAGGCAACACAGATGATACGGAAGGAAAGATCAGCAACCTGAGATTACAAAAGAGATTACTGAAGTATGACAAAGATCATTTATGTCCTGAGCAATTACTCAGTGTCTCTCATATTACCAGAACCAGGAGGCATCAAAATGCCAAGGGTTCACATGGGTTCAAAAATCAGCTTGAGAAACGTAGTTACCACAGGCAAATACTCAAGTGCTAGCTCAGAAAGCTCCTGAGCAGCAGACTGCAGCAAGCCAAGAGCGTACCTGGGGTAAAGCACTGCTGTGTGCTTGCCTATTGGTGCACTCTTCCAGAACCAGCAAGGATGGGACCCTGCTGGAGTCAGGACACCAAGGTGGATGGGCCTCTGGTCTCACCCAGAACATTCATTCATACATCTGAGGTTTCTTAAGAGGCCTGTTTACAGAAGAATTCATTGGGAGGCAGCTGGTGTCTGGCTGGGATCAAGCACAGTGATTGTGGCTGCTGAAAGCCAACTGAGGGCTCCAACCCTACTCTGATTCTGAACAGTAAATTTAGTAAGCCAAACTAGCCTCACCTGTCTTCACTCTTACCTGTCCCACGACAGACCAGTACAATCTGATCTACAGCTGGCAAGCTAGTATGTTGCTGAACTATGAGTAATTATCTGAAGATTTTCCAAAAGGGTTGAAGTAGTCATCTAAAAGCAGAAAGGGTTTCTGTGTTTCTGCTGTGGGAGTCCTGTCTGGTCACACCTTATTTAAAGGTCAAGTACACGTAAAGGTCAAGCCTGCAGCAATGCCAGGCTGAGAGCTAGCTAGTTGGGAAGGACTCTGGGGGATCAGGACTTAACGCAATCCTGAACAAAATTCATTTGTTCACAAACCCAGGGCTTGCAGATGGAAGCCCAAGTGGCCCTAGCACTGAGGGATGCACTCTGCAGGTGGCTGTGGCTCTCGCCAAAACAAGCGGCATGAGGCTCTCACAGAAATGCACATCCTCTCAAGCAAAACCATCCTTGGGTTCTGTTTAGGTGCCACCAGGACTCCTGCTCAGACATCTCCGACCCTTTACTATGCACTCAGGGACACGCTCACCTGCCATGCAGACAAGATACCTGGAGGGTCAGAAAAGTATCACAGCTCACCTCTGTTAATGAGGTCAAACAACTGATGCTGGGCAGAAGGACTGCACAGGATCCTTCCTACACAGGTCTGAAATCATGCAAAAAGCAGCTCCTTTTGTTTAGAAGGCAATGCAGGAGGTGCTCCAGACCACTCCTGGAGTAGATCAGGAGGTGAAGAGCAACGGAGCCTGTGGGCATCACAACTGAGGAGCGTCAGCTGGGCTATGGGTGTGCTGGAGTCTGGGTGGGAGCAACCGGGCACAGCCCCTTGGGACAGAGGGGCAGCTGAGCAGCTTTGGTTGCTGAGAACACAAAGCTGCTTGAGGAAGTCACAGGCAGAACAGAGAAGTCTGAGCAAAGCTACGTGCTTATTTCTCAGTGGAAAAGATTACTGCAGGAGGGTGGGACCACAGCCCTGTGCTCAGAGCCCACCCCACCTCCCAGGATCCTGTGGTGGGGGAAGCTATTCCTGCACCTTAGGATGCACTAGTTTCTGTACTTAACACCACCAAAAGGGATCTGCATGTGACTGAACCTCTAGCTGTCAGCTTCCCTCTTCTTCCACTAGTTTTAACCATCAGAACCAGATGGTAACCCCAGTTCAAAGCTGGACGTGTTGGGGGGTGTACAGCACAGCGCACAGCTGTGTAACGGGGAGTGCAGGAGTGGCTGCTGAGCTCCCCCACAGGCTTCGCTTCACTTCTGGGTGGTTGCAGCACAACCTCAAACCGCTGCAGAGGTCTACAGGCCAGAGCAGGGTCAGAGCCAGGCACAGTCAAAGGGCTCCAAACAGAGCCAGACCCAGCGGAGCAAACGAAGGCCCTCAGGGTAGCACTGCTGCCTCACCACACCTTCAGCCAAGCTGAAAAAGGATTAGACTCATTTATTTCACAGACTGTCTCCAACTCAAACCACCTCATTATGGGGACTTTTGCAATATATTGCAGACCATTATTCTTACTCATCTCAGTCATGATTATAACTTGCCAAATGCTGCAGGATAAGAGGTCATGCCCTGCACAGGGACTCATAGGCTCATATCCCTATCTCTGCCCTAGCTTTGTGCCAGGTAGGGTTTTTTACCTTTCCTTCCACAACTCTCTCTTTAGAACATCTCTTGCTGGCTGGGGAGCTATAGTTTATGCTTTGCTAACTGGTAGTTTACTTTCCACAGTGAGCACAGTATTTCTGAGACAGTTTAGAGCCACATTTGTTTTGCAGACCACATGGTCAAATTGACAAAGAGATAATCAGAGCTCAAAACAGGCCTGCTGAGAGCACAGACCCTCTGAGTGGGCAGAGAAAGGAGTACATCCATGTGCCTGAGCACTTCTGGGACTGTCAGGAGAGGGGTTTCACTCCAGTACAGCTGTCAAGTAAGACTGGCCAACTCAGTTCAGAAGACAACACTCAGGGTCTACATTAGTGATTATGTTCATGTGCGTTTGTTAACATTTATATGCATTCACTGTGAGAGGGCAAAGAAAGGCTGAGAACAAACATATGAAAGGTGGGAGATTAGAGTCCTCTCCTGGCCTGGCAGCTCCCTACCAGGGTTGACTTCGGTGCCAGATGGCTCAGGCAGTGAGGCCAACAGCAGCATGCAGAAGATCATGGTAGCAATTGGAGGCGCTGTGCAGGGTCAGATGGGCGCGAGTCCTTCAAAGACAGCAGCTGCCATCTACATTTCTGAAAGACAAAGCAAAGAGAGAAGATGAGAGTCCTCCAAAGACAGGACTTCTCTGTGCTGCAGACTTGCTATATTGTCATTGCCTCGTGACAGGTTGGGCAATCTTCCATGACTCTGAGCATGTCTTGACCCTATTCCGACCCACCACCTGATCAGAGGCTTAGCGAAGAACTAATTGTTCCTGACTACCCATACCATCTCTAAAGCTATTCATGTAACTCAGTTTTTAGGAGCTCAGCTGCCATGACTACTGTGCAGACACACTCTCAGCTGCCTTTAAGCAAGTCCAATGCAAAGTAATCTCTCCCCCATTGATTCTTCACTTTCCTTATTATATTAACAAGTCCTGAAGCTGCATCTACAATGAACCTGGATAGTCCAACCAGGCTCCCCGAGTGGGGCTTATCCACCCAACGCACACTGCTGCCTGCACCAGCTCTCTACTCCAAGTAGCCAAGCAGGCACTCTGGAACTTGTCATACAACCTTAAGTGTCTAAAACAGGGCAAAAATAATCTCTCCCTATACGCCCATGTTGCTGCCAAAAGAGCATGTGCACTCATACATGTGAGCACACTTAATTTCCTGTTTGGAAACAAGGAAAATAGCAAAGGGCTTAGACACTGGCAATTTCAGTGGAAAGCCAAGATAACACCTAAAGGAACACAAGGTCATATCAGCAAAGTTATGTGAATTCTTTGTGCCCACATTCACTACGAAGAGCCTCGGGAGGTTCCCATCCTGGAAGACAGCTTTACAGATGGCAGGTTAGAGGCTCTGTCTCATATTGAAGTGTCAGGCAAGAAGAAAACAGAACAAATCAATAAATGAAAAGTTACCAGGACTAGAGGGTGTTTGCTCAAGAATCCTCAGAGTGGTAGTAAAAAGGCAAAACTGAATGTTAGGATTTGTTAGTAAAGGAAGAGAGGATAAAAAAGGGACCATCACTATGCCAGTGCATACACACGTATAAGAAAGCCAGAGCATCTGATGCCATTAGCTCAGAGATTTGTAACACAAGGCTGTATTTTTTCCACCCAACATAATTAAACTGTACAAGTCACAGCCGTGAGTTGCCGTAGATACCAAAACAATGGGATGTATTCACAACAGACAGATACACCACAGCTTTTAAATCCAAAGGTAAAACCTTTGGCTCAGGAAATCCCCCAGCTGCAGATTGCTAGATGCCCAGAAGCTAAATCAGGGTTAGAATCACTGAGGCTTGCCCTGTTTTTATTCTCTTTCCTAAGGATTTGCTACTGGCCATTGTCCCTGCTGGATTCTGTCAGAAGAGATGGCTCTGAGCCTGAAAAACAACTAAGGGCCTTCTTAGGAAATGAGCCAAATGCTCATGCAGAAAGGGAAACTAATGATCAGTGGATTCTGCCTGGCGGTGCTGTGCCCAGCCATGCGACAAGGCAAGTGAACCTAAAAATGACCTTAAAATTGCCAGGACCCCTCCTGCTTCAGCCACCTCTTCTGCTCCGCGTGAGCACCCTGGCCAAGGCTGGGAGGAGGGCGACCACGAGGTTCTGCAATTTTGTGGCATCTTGGGTGGTAAGTGTGCCAAAGCGCAGCACTGGAGAGGAAAGGCAGCCTGTATCTCAGCAAGAGGGTCTGGCAATCAGAAAAGAGGTTTTGACGAAACACTCTCAAGCTGTGTGTGCATCCAAGGTTGTCTTTCCCCCTGAAATGGAGGGGGGTGATCTCCGATGCAAACACACCAATTCCCACCATCCCATGACAGACTACAAGCACCATGGAGCAGAGACTTCTCGTAGCCATGCAGAGGGAGATTTTGTAAAGACATTTCTAAAGCAGAGTTTGAAGACAGACCTGGTAGATGTTAGCCTATGCAGGTGATTTTCTAGGGTGCCCCAGAGGCTCCCGAAACAGGACTTGGAAGGGAATGGGGGAGAGTTCAGCACTAGAGCAGACTGTCCTTCCACAGGACATGAGAAAGGGAAGTGCCATGAACATTAAGGGTTTAACTTTAACCACATTCCTGGAGGAAGTGATCGAAGACACAGCAGAGAGCTGTTTGGTGGTTTATGGGGTGCCCTGACTATGGCCCAGGTGTCTGCCCAGAGCACCTGCACTATGCAGGTGTAGCCTGGGCTGGAGAAGATTCTTCTGCTGGGTCCTTGTGCTGGACTAGCCACTGAACAGGGCTGCAAGTTGCTGAGGAGACCCTGGCAGAGCAGCAGCTCAGAGATCTCAGGTGATTCCTAAGATGGAGGTTTAAGGGCTGCCAGCTATACTGGAGCCCTCAGATGGCAGAGGATGAGCACACATGTTCCATGCCCTCATCACCCCCTTCAGAGCCTAGAAACAGAGCCTGGCAAACAGGCATCTGTAAAGAGAGAGGCTAGCACCCACCAAAACACCCTGGGGTTTCCCTCTGTAACATGGCCAGGGTTAAGGGTGGCCAGAGAGCACTGGAGCAGCAGTCGTACGTGGCTAGGTGAGGACCAGAGCCTGCTGTTGAAGCAAAAAAGAAATGAGAGCAACCCCAGACACCACTGCAAGTGTTCAGATGCCTTGGCTTCCCATTTGATCCAGAAGCCCAAAGAAGGATCAACAGCAGGGAAGCAGATGTCCAGGCACAGTGGAGCACCCAACCCCTGCCATCAGCACAGAGCCCACAGCCCAGCTGGGATCAGCTACCACTCCAAGCAAAAGGTACCAAGCTGCAACTTAGCATAAGGATTTTGGCTTTTGACAATAGAGTAGTTGTGCCAAGTTTCTCTCATCCTCTCAAAATGACATGCGAGCAAGTCATGACAACAGCCGCCAACATCACAGCAATCTAATAATCTGCTGTGTAACATGAACAGCAACATTATCTCATTTGACCAGGTACAGACCAAACACCATAATTTAAGTGCCCATATGCTTTATGCAAAGCTCACACCATGTTCTAAATCACACCTATTGTGCTGCCACATAGCCAGTCACATCATTTAACCGCTTGAATGCGGTGATCAGAATGTAAAAGATAACAGGAGGGAAGAAGGAATAGGGTGGAGGGTGGACAAGGAAAGTCACATAGAAACGCCCAAGCACCACGTCGGCTGCTGCTGCTGAGCCAGCAACCAGCACTGGAGGAAAGGTATGGGTTGGGGGGGCTCAGTTGTCTGTCCCACCCTGTCCTGCCGGCAGTACCCTGTGAACTGGGGGCTTCCCAGGACTTGATGGGTATGTGGAGCTCAGCAGGTCACACAAAAATAGTGTGGCTTAAGGGAGCTGCAAACCAAAACTGGAAGATGTGGCCATAGAGGCCAGCGTGGCCTCCAGGAGAGAAAAGGAAAGCTTCAGAGCTTGCTCTAGAGCTCGCCTGTATGCAGCTCTGTGCCTGTGAAAGCTGGCTTTGAATTTGACCCTTGACTAAAGAGCATCCAAGAAGAGCAGGATGCATCCTTGGGATGTGTCTATCTCCACTGACAATAAAGGGAGCCTAAATGGCTGGCCTGGACTAGCCTCATCATTCCCAGGTGGCCACAGTTTGATGACACAACTTCTCATCTTTTTATGTGGCATTGATGAACTATTCCCAGCAGTTCAGGGGACTCCAGCAGCTGGGTTCAGGCTGTGCTGGGTTTGCTCTTTCCACCACACTTGGTTCCCAGTCCTGGCCCATCAAAGCATATGTTTGGGAGAGGTGCAGCACACGGGGAGCCAACAGTGTCACTTCTCAGCCTCTAGTGCTCTACAGCAGCTGCTGTTCTCTTGAGCAAGGACACCAAGAGCGTTTTTCACTCCTGTCTCGTTATTTAGAGGAACCTCAGCTCCACTCAGGAGCTCATATTGCTGAAATCGCTGTTTGAAGAACTACTGATGCTGATTTCTGCTGAGTCTAAATCTCAGCTAGTAGTAGTAGATTGGATTCCTAACTGCACACTTCCAAGTGCTGAAACACACTGGAACACACTACTAAACACAGGCCTCTGTATAAACTGCTTGGAAGTCATCATCTTAACAATTTTTTTCTGGGTAGACAACTTGGTACTTGTCCTCATAGCATTTTCAGCTGCATTAGAGTCCCTTGCTGTACTCGCGCCTTTCTTCCTGACCTGCCCACACATACACAGAAAGTGCCAAAACTACAGCACAGGCCTGAAACCAGCAAAAACAGGATTAGCAACATTCTCACAGAGGCAAGAAAGTGTTAAACTGTTCTCGGGACTGAATGGATCAAGTTGCTAATTGCTAACAGCTGGCTGCAGGAGAATAAAATCCTGTTACAATCATTGTGAGAGTGGAAAAAAAAAAATCTACTTGCTGAAAAACTCAGTAAGAAATGCAAAAGAGGGCAGTTTTTTCCCCAATATACCCAGCGGATACCAGGCCTAAAAAGCTGATCCATCCCTCGGCAGAGAAACAGCTCGCTGTGACCCAGCACTGTCCCCAGCACAGCACGGGGCCTGCAAGCAAAAGCCTGGGCACAGTGGGTGCGGGAGGGAGCTATTCTTTAGTGATGCTCATGAAGAAGGTGGGACTTGGAGCTCCTCCAGGTACTGTTCTCCCTCCAGAGATCTATTACGGAGGTCTGGCATGTTTGCAAGCCTCTCTAGATCCCAACTGAAACAGGCATTTGTTTTAACTGGTTCCTTCGCAGATCATTACCTTGGAGTGGGACCTTTGGGTTTGCTGCAGGAATCCCATTACAGATGCCCAGCACTGTGCCAAGAAACTCCACAGTCATGATCAAAACTCATAGCTGTGTGTATGATGCACTCTGTATGTATTACAAGAGGATCTACGCTAAATCAAAGTATCCTCAGAAGAGATTCAGGAACAGTCAGGAGGACTGGACGGTATCTCCTAGCATTCGTAGAGGAATTCAAGGAGGAAACAGCAAAGCTACTAATTGGGACAGTATCTGAAGCCTGAAGAAATACAGGCTGGAAAGTGTGATTTCCA